AACCATTTTTTCATTTTACACTGACCTGCTCAAACAATGTCAGCATATTGATCAATGCTATCCTTATCAATGGAATGTATTTGTCATCTTTGTGCCTGTCTTCTTCTACTCTTCTCTAGACAATAAAGAAAGCCAAATATATGCTTATGGCGTAAAGATTTTATTTGCTTATTTTTTATGTATCTGCCCACAATTCAGATATGTGTTTTTTCATTTTACACTGACCTGCTCAAACAATGTCAGCATATTGATCAATGCTATCCTTATCAATGGAATGTATTTGTCATCTTTGTGCCTGTCTTCTTCTACTCTTCTCTAGACAATAAAGAAAGCCAAATATATGCTTATGGCGTAAAGATTTTATTTGCTTATTTTTTATGTATCTGCCCACAATTCAGATATGTGTTACAAGAGACAGTTGCATATGATCCACCAACACCCTATACACATTTGCCCAACCTTTTAAAGCAGCGTCCTTAGGATAAGGTACTATTCTGTTTTTCTATCAAGGTGCTTATAATGGAACACATCACTAGAGTATCTGAAGGCTGCCCAAGAGATAATTGGTGTGTAGAGCTACAGTGCAAGGTAATTAAAGCCCCTGTTATAAGTTCAAACACTATAACACCCAAACATAGCACAGGGCTACAGCACATTACTTCTTTAGATTCTCAGTGTGAGTTGACATTTTGCACACTAAGCCAGATCAGCCCCTAGTTATTGTATGTCACTGTCTCCACAGGACTTCTTGGCAAGTGATAACTTGCACTGAGACAAAGAAACAAATCCACATTGCCCCTGGCCAATGTGAGGCGCCATCTCCACAGAAAATAGACTTCACTCTCTTCTTCAGCTATGTACCTAACTTTATTAGCCTAACAGCACCACAGTTATGCAAAGGTAAGGTACAGTATTCCAACTCCCTACTCAGGCAAAATTCCTATTGGCCTTGTTATTTAGAAAACACAGGACTTTCGTGGTCCTAAATTAACACTGGATTCACTGAAGAATTAGGGAGAAGGTCAACAAAATCAGGTGTCTCAAAAAAGTCACTATTCTACTGAACACTGAGAAGTAAGAATTTTCTTGTGAAATTAATCAGCTGATTACAGTAGCCATAGGACAAGAGAAATCTCATTATTCTACAGAATGTGTAAGGGCATGTTAACTTCTTGTCAGGCACAAACTGCAAAGGTGGTTCTTCAAAGGAAGAAGAAAATTGAGCATTATTATGTCTTACTAATAAAGCTGTGAAGGCAGCCCATGTAAGTCCAGAGATAAGGCATCAAAAGATCAATTAAGTTTTCTTTTTAGCAAAATGCAGGACAATGTAGCACTTTAAAGACTAACAAGATGGTTTATTAGATGATGAGCTTTCGTGGGCCAGTCATTTTTTTTATTGTATCCTTTGGTATATATGGTTGTGACTACTTTCTTCCACTATTTGATCTGAGGAAGTGGGTCTGGCCCACGAAAGCTCATCATCTAATAAACCATCTTGTTAGTCTTTAAAGTGCTACATTGTCCTGCATTTTGCTTCAACTACCCCAGACTAACACGGCTACATTTCTATCAGTTTTCTTTTTATACATTCTGAAATGTACTTAATAAAGCTGGAAAAAGTTGTGGGCTGTTTCTCAGGCAGCTTCAACGTCTGTGATTAACACTAGCAGAAAACCAAATCAAATACCTTAACAGCTTTATAAAGATTTTTTCCAGCCTCAATTTTCCAACACGTTGTGGCAGACTAATAATGTCCTACCTGGACAAACATTATTCAATTAAGTTGTTGTATTAAAAAATCAAATGTGAACTTGCATAGAACTTCCAGAGCAGGAAGACAGAATTCATGCCATCACTCAGAGAGATGAGGAACCTCAAAAGGCTTTTTAGGACAATGGTGTACAGTGGACATCCTAGGAGTGGGGTCTTTCATGGGCTGCCACTTCCTGCAGCTCCCATTGGCCAGGAAAAGCTAATGACAGCCCCTGGGAGTGGCCATAACTGTGGATGCTCAGGTAAACAAAGCATCTTGCGGCTAGCTAATCGCTTACCCTCACAAGCCACAACCTGAAGTTTAAAAACCTGTCCTGGGAAATACCTAGGTGAAGGGAGGACAAATGACACACTTCAAATGCATCCTTCTGAAGCTAATTCCAGGAGAGAAAAACCAATTATCTATTAATTACTTGATCCTGGCAACTCCAAATCAAAGACCCCTACGTTGTATGAAGGGCAGACTAAATATGTCACATGTGTGCTGTTCCAACCTGAGATGAACTTGAAACTACATGGAAAACTCTTGGGTGGCATTTTGAAGGATTGTTCTTTCCTGAGCCCATATTTGGATTAGAGTAACACTTAGAAAGTTTATTAGCATGTGTGTACGTTTTTTTAATTATTATTTCCAATATGATTTCTCCATAGTGCTTTTACCTTAAAAATAAAATAGGCTTGCACAGGAAGTTCTGGATGGTAACCTCCAGCTATGAGCAATCAATCTGGTACTAGTCTCTGAAGGGAAGGCAAAAGCAGCTTGCTTAGATAGCCTGGCCTGAGTCAGAATAACACATAGAAAACTGTTCTGCCTAGAGATACTCTATTCAGATCTCCCTTCTCTACCTACTTTAAATAAGCAATCCCTCCATGGCATGCTTCATTGTCCATGTCTGAGTGCCTCTCTGTCCTTCTAACAATGTACCAAGGTAGCAACATATTGTCTTTCAAGTTTCTCTACCTTTTACTCTCCCTTATAATGTAAAATATCACTATAAGGTACAGTGTAGCAGCACTAAGCAACAGAGTGATGCTTCCCACTCAAATAGAAATGGTAACAAGTTATCCTGCCAGCCCAGTGCAGTCAAAGAGACACAAGTACAGTGAGGCAATTTTTAAACTTTAAACACATAGCACTCTATATCAAACTCACTAAGAGATAAAAGATAAAATGTCAATCACATTCTGTATTACATTCACTTACCCAGTTACCACTGACAGCTTTATTTTCTCCACTTTCCCTTCCTGCAGTCCATGGTTCCTTTTCTGCTTCTTTTGTTCCCAGTTTGTCCTTTAAAGTGCTGTTTTCTTTCACAAGTTCCCCCACTTGTTCTTGAAAGCTGATGTCAGACAATTTCAGCTCATAAACATGACAGCATGATTCCTCTAGTTTCCTTGCCAGGAAGCCTTTGTTGTACTGAAGTTTAGCTAGTAGGTCTGCTTGTTCTCTATTTTCGCTTTCTTTGTCCTGTAACCTCTTCAGATTTTGCTGCAGTATCTGTAGGTTGCTTTTCATATAATGATCCACATCTTCAATGAGAGTTTTAATTTTAGTTATAGCCACACCAAAATGCGAAGACCCCTGAATTACATTGAATGCAGCTTCCAGTTTGCATCGTAGATATTGTACAATTCCTTCTCCTAGCTCAGAGAACAAAAAAGCTATAGTGGCATTGAGATCTAGGACTTCCTTTTCCAGCCTCAACACACGACCCTGAAGAGACAGCTCCCGTTCTCTCAATATTGTTGTTTGCTGCTTCTGCTTTTGTTTGTAGTGTTCAAAATAGGCTGATTGACTCTTTACTTCCTCCTCTTTTGTCTTCAACTGGTCCTGAAGTCGCCACAGCTTTTCTTTTTGCTTTCTTTCTGCCTTTTCTTGCTTTTGAACCTGCAAGTTTCAGGGATTAGTATGGGAATGAAAACAATAGGCAGATCCATAATTCAAAATCTCTTTTCACAATAATTTTCCTTTTCTTAATTTGCCCATCTCTTCTGAACCATTATTTGGCCAAAGGACAGGAATAATATGAACAAAAACTTTTTGGAAATCAATATGACTGCATGTTGTGGAAGTCAGAAGCTATATTGCTCATAACTTCAGCCACCATCAAAACATCTTAATTAAAAAAGAACATGTCTTCTTTCATATTTAATATTTTAGTTCATTTTGCATAACCTATATGCAACTCATCAACTCAAAACCCTTTTATGAATTAAAATGCATATAATTGGTTCCTAACTATGGAACATATTACTGCAAGATTTGTACTGAAGTAGCGTTCAGAGGTCACAATCAGGTTGTTCATCCCACTGGGTTAGATGTTGAAACATATATGAAAAAAACAGTTTCAGTCCTAAAAAAAACTTACAATCTAAGAAAACAAGGGACATATGAATTGAGGCAGTGCAGTGAAATATACAAATCAGAATTTGTATTCATAGGTCAGTTAACCAATTTGCCCTTTAATGTAGCCATAATAAATTAGCTCAGTTATTGTGGGGCCCCTGGAAATGTAGGAGCAATATGAAAGGGCAACAGGCCTTATTAGTCAGATCACAAAGCATGTTCCCCATGTAAAGGGATAGGAATAGTTTTCATTTTCAGATTAACATTGCACTTTACATGAATTATGGGTTGTCATAAAAAGTCCAAATGTGCCATATGAAAAAAAAGAAACATTTCTTGTTTTATTAACTAGTCTTGAACCAACTAAATGTTAACAAACAACATAATGCAAATTGGGAATTTTTCAGCTGATTCTGAAGTACACAGAAGGTCTGATGGAGGTATTTGCAATATCCCACTAAGCAGTTTCAGCTCAGTTTTTTTACCTTCTCATCTATTGATTTCTAAGGGGTTTAGAGATGAAGCCAAAGCAATGAGATTAACATTAGGCACGAAAGTCACAGTGTCAGACAGACTATTAGGCTTAATGAAATTACCATCTGATGAAAGAATAGGAACTGTTTAGGACAGTGGTAGACAACATGTGGCCTTTCTGGGATTCTGGGTGTGGCCATGAGACATTTTGTTTACATTTGTAAATATGGCATCAGAGTGATCAGAATTGGAAAATCATGATGGGAAGGGACACCAAAAGAAAACTGGAGTTATGTAAGCTGGGAAAATGGAAGATGAACTACTGATTGAAGCTTCAGGGGGTAGCCGAGTTAGTCTGTTACAGGAAAAAAAACAGCAAGCAAATAGTCATATAGCACTTTATAGACTAATAAAACATGTAGATGGTATCACGAGCTTTCGTGGATACAGCAACTGTTGATTGAAGTAACAGGATTGAAGCTGAATCAGAAAACATAATTTGTGTACAGTACTTGAGAAGTAAACATAGAGCAATCAGATGGAGAGCTATGGAATGGAAAAGAAGAATCTAATGTGCATGGATGGGTAGTGAAAAAGGGGTCAGGAGTACTATGGGGACTGGCAATTAAATAATAAATTGAAAGGAAAAACTTAAACAATGAATGGTCCTGCTGACAGAAGGATGCAGATTAGGCACTTCGAAAGTGCAGATGAGCCCAGGATTTAAATATCCCAGGCTTCATTTGCATACTCACGTTCGGGCGTTGTGCCGATCACACGCCCTTTCGAAAGTGAAAGTAAAGTCTAGCCACGGCTCTGCCGACAGTGGGGAGCTTTTTCGGCAGATCCTGTACTTCTCAAAAAATGTTGGCAGAGGGGTGTAGTTTAGACACACCCTTAGAGACTAACAAAAAAAGTAGATAGTATCATGAGCTTTCGTGAGCACAATCCACTTTTTCAGATGAATTGTACTGATATATATTTTTAAATATCCATAGAGCTTATTACTACTGTATTTAATTGCAATAATACCTACTATGTGCTAGGCATTTTTTAAACACTCCAGGTGTATCTAGACTGGCAAGATAAACTTGCCAGCTGTCTACACTGGCTGCTTGAATTTGCGCAAGAGCACTGATGTTCTAATGTAAGAATTCAGTGCTTCTTGCACAAATACTTTGATGCTCCCGCTCAGGGATAAGCCCTCTTGTGCAAGAATACTTGTGCAAGAGGGCCAGTGTAGACAGGCACCTTAATTTTTTGTGCAAGAAAGCCCAATGGCTAAAATGGCCATCGGGCTTTCTTGCACAAAAGCGTGTCTATACTGGGCACGGATGCTTTTGCGCAAAAGCACTTTTTTCACAAAAGCATCTGTGCCAATCTAGACGCTTTTTTGCGGAAATACTTTTAACGGAAAAACTTTTCCGTTAAAAGTATTTTCGCAAAATCATGCCAGTCTAGATGCAGCCTCCATGTTTCACAGGGCTGAGGGTCAAAGGACAGACAAGTAAACTGACATTACGGGAATGGGAATGAAAACAACAAAGGGCAAATGAAATATAAGCCATTTATTTCTATCCTACTGAAGGATGACTTGCATGTGGATAGGGGATTGGCTTTGCAGCAGAGCTTAGGCAGATCAAACCACCCATAGTAGGTCACATGAAAGTAGGCAGGGAGGTGACAATGTGAGATGCTGAATAAAAGTCAGACAAAGCCAGGAGAGTACTGGCAGAGGATAACAGCACATGGGCAGAGCTAAGTAGAATTTGAAAGGCAGAGACAAGAAGCTTACATTGAATGCAATAAGGTAGCCAGTAGAAATGTACAAAATGGGGAGTTCCATGATCAAATCAATGGGCAAGAATGATGAGGCTAGCAGCTGCATTTTGTTTGAGAAGGACATTAAATATGGTTAAACTTAAAAAAACAACAAATAATCTCTAGCAGCATCTTAAAGACCAACAAAACATGGTTGGCAGGCTGAAAAGAGGCTGTTGCAGTACTGAGAGACATCTCTTCATGTCTCTTTATACTCTTCAGACCAGTGGCTAGGTTACCTGCCTGGGGTTTAGGAGACCAGGTGTGAACTCTCTCTAGAGCATGGACTTCAACTCAGATTTCCCCTCCTCCTCTAGTGGGCACCCTAACTATAAGGCTCTTCT